ATCGCGATCCGACTTTCCTGGATCGCGATCTGGGTCTGAACTTTGCTTGCTACTGGAATTTGTCGCCAGATCGCGATCCGGCTTTCCTGGATCGCGATCTGGGTCTTAATGACCACTTTCTCGGCTTGAAAAATCGGTTTCGCTTCCAAATGGCTTCGACTTGGCAACAAAAGCTAACAAAACCTAAAAAAGGAAATAAAACAAGAAACGCAATAATATAAACAAATAAAGCCGAAACTCGAACGAACGAAGACCAAAACTCGAAGATTTGATAAGCAAAAATCGTGCAAAACGACCACTTATCAGTCCCATGGGGTTCGTCTCTCAAAATCCAAGTGTCCTCAGACACCTAGTGAAATCGAGGATATGAAAAGGATATGAAAAGGATGTCTTATGCTTCTGCCATAAGAAGCATAATGTATGGCATGTTGTGTACTAGACCTGATATCGCGTATGCTGTGAGTGTCACAAGCCGATATCAGTCTAACCCCGGTCCAGCTCACTGGAAGGGCCGTGTAAGATATCCTCAAGTACTTACGAAGGACTAAGGATATATTTTTGGTCTATGGGGGTGCCGAATTGAAATTAGAGGGCTTTACCGACTCTAGTTTTCAATCGGATGTGGATGACTCGAAGTGGAACTCGGGATTTATATTCACGCTTAATGGTGGTGCCGTGTGTTGGAAGAGTTCCAAGCAAAGCACGACGGCCGATTCCACTACCGAAGCTGAATACATTGCAGCGTCCGAAGCTGCAAAAGAATGGACTTGGATAAGGAAATTCATCCAAGAGTTGGGTGTCATTCCTAATGCTAATGATCCAGTACCGTTGTACTGTGATAACACCGGAGCCGTGGCGCAAGCTAAGGAGCCGAGATCTCATCAGAAGTCCAAGCATATTCTGAGGAAGTGTCATGTGATCCGAGAGATCATTGATAGAGGTGAAGTTAAAGTAGAACGAGTCACATTGGAAGAGAACGTTGTAGACCCCTTCACGAAGCCTTTACCAAGGTCGGTCCACGAGAAACATCGAGAGTCGATGGGATTGCGATTCATGGGTAGTTGGCTTTAGGTAAAGTAGGATATTGTTAGAGTAGGTGACCAACAAGCCAACATGTGGCTGTGGTCTTTCCATTTATTCTTGTAATAAATAAACCTTTTTCGTATTAATGATAAAACACCTTGGCATTCTATATCTTTGTCCATTTGTCTCAAACATATATATAGTCCTTACAGTTATTACAAGTACTAATAATTGATCTTTAGGATCGTGAGATATTTAGTTTAGTATTATAACTGTTAAACGTGTTCATAGTCGAAGGGTTACGCTCCAATGAGGATATCGGCCTTTCCTATTAAGAGACTAGCACTTAGTGTATGTGTACTGCATCTCATCAGTAAACGGTATTGTGATATCGGCATGTATAAGTGGGTGCTCGTAAGTTGACGAGTTCACTGAACTCCCTCACCCTAGAAATCTCTAAGTGGTTCTCGATAATCGAGTACAAATATCTATGGTATAATTGTACACCATTGGTTCTTATGACCTAGACATCACCGTGACTTCACTAGAGGACCAGCTGCATCGTGACCTGTCCCTGAGTTCTACCGAGGGCCGCCCCAAGGGCCAGTGTTCGTGCAGTCCGAAATCTAGTGGGAAGTCTGTGCATTGGAGTCGGGGATTCGATCGCTAGAATAGTCTTGGATGTCCTGTGTGTTCTCATAGTTTGTAATCTCTAAGTCTCTGGCCAGAGCTGATTAGAGAATTTGATTCTATAAGTCATGCACGTAATGATTACAACACTTAGAACGACCGCACAGTCATTGTACTACTAAGGAGGTCTCGATGAACCAATGCCTCTAGTTCAATCGGAACATATGAATCGAAGGGATCCTACTGTACGTTAACTATATCAAAAGGTTCTTGCAGGCACTTCATTTGTATCTAGGGAATCATGACGCGTAGTTGCTAGACGCCAATCTTGATTCGTTGGGTGATTAAGGTGAAACGAGCTTCATTTTAATCGTAACTCTAAGGGACGAGTTTTGACCACAAAGGGTTGTGGGCCCACAGCTAGCTTACACCTGAACCATCGAGGGTCACACTGCTCGTGCACACGAGATCTTTGAGTAAACGGTGAGAGATAAAAATGTTTTATCTTTGCATGATTGGAAGTCAATATGATTGAGTCCAATATTTGTAATTTGGAATTATGAATGAGAATAAGAAAAGGAAAAGAATATGCGAACATCTTAGTGGACTTTCTAAATCGGGAAGTTTCCAAATTTAGAGAGTGCACTGAATTAGGGTTTCCACTTTTAGAAAGTTGGAAATCGAGCATTGGCACTCGTAATGACGAGGACATTATAATAATTCCGAAAATGTAATCGTTACAATTTTCCGATCATTGAATTGAGAGAAACGAGCGAGTAAGCTGTTGGGCCCGGTCCAACTTAAGCCCGTTAGGGCTTTTATGCAAGACACTATAAATACTTGATTTATAGGTCTTGCACACACACACAACACATCTCACAAACCCTAGCCGCTCGCCCCTCTCTCTCTCGGCCAAGCTCACTCACGGCCGCCGCTGTTGCCGCCGTTCCACCGCCGGAAATCGGCCTCCCTTGGCCGATTATTGTGGTAGTTCTTTTCCTCTTTTCATTTCTTCCGTCTATTCTAACTATTGCGTGTCTAGTGCCACATTTTAGTAGATCGAAGTATACGAGGTGAAATCCGAGAGGAGGAAGATCGAAGAATCGAAGAACCGAAGAGCAGCCCCCGAGCCGACGATGCACGCGCTCCCACGCGCCGCCCAAAGACAGCGCGTGATCCTCACGCGCCGCCGTAGCTTGCACCGCCGCCGCCGTTGCTTCGCCGTCGCCGCTCCCCGATTGCACGGATCGGTTTTCGAGGCAATCTTGCATCGTTTCGTACTCCAACCTCACGCTTCAAAAGGTAATTCTCGAATTCGGAATTCGTTAGATTTTAATTTAATTAGATTAAATTATCCATGTTCGTTTTCGTAGTACGTTTCGTGAATTTGTATGTTTTGTATGTTCACATGAAATTCATGATTTACTGCGAGCACGTTAAATGATTTACTGCGAGCATGCCAATTGATTTACTGTCGATTAAATTAATTCGCATGATTGTCGTTTTTAATTTCGCTGGAAGCGCAAATGTACGCAATTAATTGTTTAATTATTGTCGGGCATGTGATTATGTGATTTAAACTTGTTTAATTCGCATAAGATTTTTGTTTTCAGCTGCGTGCACATATCTAATTCCCAACACTATCAACTTTCTTTATATTAGGTAGCAAGAAATGAAAGTATAGCAAATTCATGCAGGTAATTATAAAACTAGGTAAATATACAAGAAGTAGAGAACAATGTAGGGCGAAGAGATAATGTATTATTTCACATTTCAAGTGTATGTACAACTCATCACAATATGCTTTAAAAATATCACGAATACGATAATAAAAAATGCAAGAGTTACATCAGTTAAAGAAACTTATCCATCGATGAACACTCGAAATTGGTTTGTAACTTCTCATGTAATAGTGATCTTTGAACATCCATATCAAAATAAAGTTCATAACACACAAATTATCTTTCAAAATCTTTTTCTAATATACTTTTGCAAGAGGAAATTATTATGAGGCACATTAGCATAACTTTTTTTTAATGTATATGGACTAGGCAATATGCATGTTCTCAATCTGGACAAAACAAAAGAGAGAAAAAAAAAAAAAAAAAAAAAAATTACAAGGCCAAATAAAACGGAGGTCAACAGGTTGAATATATCTGAAATATACAAATGGTTGAAGCAGTGTTCACGCTGGCGACTGGCCCCACAACTTATCAAGACAAAGAATTCCAATTTTTTCTGAAATATTACATCTGAAAAAAAGAAACCCAAAACACAACATAAATTAAATATGATTTCATGCTTTATTTCAATACAATCTTTTGCAATTATCAGGAACAACTATAAGATGTTTGAGAAGATTTAATTAATCTCCACCACAACCATGGTTCGCGGGCACAGAACAGTCGGCTGTCGCGGACACTGCCGTTCCAGTTCCATTGCCACGTCGCGGTTCCGTCGCGGCCGGAACAGATTTTTTTTAATTAAAATTCTAAAAAATATTTATTTCAAATATATTTTTAATACCAACATTACAATACAATAATATGCTAAAATTATTAAAAATTATAAAAAAAAAATATTACAACAACCTTGCATTAACATTATAAAATACATGCAATATCAATACCCATAATTTGGATCATGATATCTTGCACTTCTGCTTCTGGAACTTCTGTTTCTGGAAGACCCATAATCATATCCAGTGCCACCTGTATATAAAGGCTCACGGTATGTGTTATGTGCTAGATCGTAATAACCCTCAAAACCACTACGAATGCCACTAGTATTGCCAGAATATCCATATTCGTGATCATGTTGCCCAATACCAGTTGCACCATATGGTAATGGATATCCGTATCTATCTTGGGAAGCAAATGAACTTTGACCATAGTTATATCCTATAACCGTATCGAGGCATATTTTAATATTATATATATTAGAATTTTCTATATTTATTTATTATTTCTATTTTGATATTTATTTTCCATTTTTTAAGAATCATAGTCTTCAATTTTAGTTGTTATTTTCTGTAAAAAAAAATATATGTATGATTGCTATTTTCCTTTCCTTAAATACATAAATTATAGTCATGTTTTAGTTATTGTTACTTTCTCGGAAATTAGAGGGATTATAGGGATTAGTGGGGTCTCTTTTATTAATTTAAATTCTTTTTTTAATTTAAAAAATAATTTACACTCTTCTTTTACCAATTATCCGTTCCCAATTTTCTTTTTTCTTCTTTTTTTTTTTCAGTTTTTCTTCCGTCAAGGGTCTCGTTCTTCCCAATTTTTTTTTTTTTTATTATTATTTTTCCGTTCCGGAGCCGTTCCGGTGCCGTTTCCCGGCTAAGTCTCGGCCGTAACGGTGGTCCGCTGCGTCGGGGAGGGCAGAACAGTTTTGTTAGGGATTCCGGAACGGCGGGCACCGTTCCCGTTCCGGGACGGCCGTTCCGGCGAACCCTGACCACAACCACCGCAACCACCGCCGCACCAACACCCGCCACCGCCGGTATCCCCAACATCGGCAACCCCACAACAACCACCACCACCACCACCCGTGTTACGATCACTGACCACCACGGCAGCCGTAACAGCTGTCGCGGCCACAGCAGCACCTGCTCCCGCCAAAACCACCATGTTTCCATCCTTGAAGCCACCATCACCCACATACTTCTTCCCACTCTTCTTATCGTAACCGTATTGGCCCGCCCGCGGTTCAGCAAGCTCATCGGCAGATTTGCCTTCTTTGCGGTCTCGGGATCGCACACAACAAAACGTTTTGATAGTTAATATATATATATATATATGTAAGAGCGTATGGTTTACAAGACAGTACGTACTGCAACGAGTGCAATATATATATATATATATATATATATATATATATATATATATATATAGCCTTATGAGATGTTACAATTTTTTTGAATTTGGATTATGTCATACATATAATTAATACTAGATCAGTTCCAACATTCGTAATTATGAATTGGTGATTCAAGTTTGTAGATGTGCTGGAAATGTCGAGGAATTTCATTTGAGAATTTTGCGTGCAAGGCTATAACATATATAGAATAATACAAAAAGCATTTAATTGCTGAATTTTTCCTTAATAATTAAGTTTCAGATCATTGACAAATCACAATTTTAGAATTGTTCATCCATATTATATCCATCGCATTACATTTATGTTGTCATGCCCCGTTATACTATATTCAAGTCTCTACGAATAAAGATGGATAAATCAAAGAAATATGATGTATCAAAAAAAATAATTGAATCTGTGGCGACGTATTTACATTTAGGCCTCGTTTAGTTGCCAATATAGAACTAATAATCTAATAAAAATCCAATTTTTTTTATCGGACTTTGCAGCCTCCAACAAAAAAAACTTGCAGAAAAGGACAATATAAAACAAGATAAGCCATAAAAACACAATATTTGCGAGTTGACCCGACAATTTATTGGGAATACTGAATACCAAATATCAAGCATAGTCCAATTATTTAATTAATAATTAATGAATATTAATTATGGGCTTATTTTATATACCCCTTCGGTGCCTAATAAACTAGGGATAAACTGTTGAGTGTATAGTTTACACTCAATATATGCTTTCTTACGAGGATTTTTGTATACTTTTATTGATTTAATGATGCTTAATGAGTGGTTTATTGTATTTTAGGTACAACTTGACGATTTGGAAGTTCCAAGGACGAAACGAGCCAAAAAAGTTAAAAAACGGGCAAAAACGGAAGAAAACAAAATATGCTGAAAATTGGCTGAAAATTGGCCCGCGCGGCCGTGCCAAATTTAGCCTATTTTTGGCGCGGCCGCACCAACTGCAGAAGTTGGGCAGAAGGTTTCGGCGATTCTCGCGCGGCCGTGTGAGAATTGCACTGATTCTCGCGCGGCCGTGCCAAAACACGCTGGAGACAATTTTGGACTTTTAATCACACAAGAAAACCTAAATTTTTCTACCAAGTTGGGACATCTATTTAAGCCCAAACCAAGCAAGAATTAGAGGACTTTTGGAACACAATCTTGGAGGAGAGGAGCGAGAGAACGAAGAAACGAAGACGGAGAATCGACAAATCTTCATCACAATTCTTCTTTCATCTATCTTTTCTTGATCTCTTTCTTTTTATATTTTTATTATGTTTTTCGTAGAGAACATGCGTAGCTAAGTTTTTAATCTAGGATTTTGTTGGAACCCTATGTGGGGATGGTGAACCCGTTTTCTTGATATTATGCAATTATGATTTTATGATTATTTCTTCTACTTGTTATGATTGTTAGTGCATGAACTTGATCAATTTATGTGCTTTATCTGTGATTATTGGGATTGACTCGACAAAGCTATTTTGATAATTAGACGGTAAGTAAAAGAGCCTTCGAGTAGTTTTCACCGGATGAGTGTGTCAATTGCATGTGGTGTCGTAGACATACAGATATCACCTTAGGTAGCCATTTACGAGACTTGTTAGTTAATGTTTTATTCATAATTGGTTTGCATAGACATATAGTGAACCGTTTATGATTAATAGACTCATAATACACGCGATAGCGGGTTATGAGTAAATTAGTGTCTCGAGTTAATAATCATGAATCATATATTTCATGATTGAGGGGTTTTGGGTGAGCAATTCTTGCATAGGGGGAAGATAAAATCCTAAATCCGTTTTATATTGATATTTTCTCGTCATTCTTTTCTTTCTTAATTAGTTTAGTTGTTTAATTGATTTAATTTGACAAACTTGCGTAGGCTGGATAAAAATCATAATTGTTAGAATTTGGTACATAGGATTAGATAATTTGAGTATTCCCTGTGGGATCGACATCCGACTCTCACGAGTCCACTTTTACTACTTGTTTGCGATACGTGCACTTGCGTGTTAGGTATTTAGCCCCAACAAGTTTTTGGCGCCGTTGCCGGGGAGTACGGATAAATTATCTATTTATCCGAATATTAAATTTGAGCAATTTTTCTTACTTCAGCCGTTTTATTTATTTTAGTTAATTATTTTATTTGCTTATTTTATTTTTATTATTTTTGTTTTAGGTACTTTTTATACGAAGAGGACACGACACGAACTTGCTACCTCTTGATCCCGAAATTGAGCGAACGTTTAGGCACGCCAGGAGAAATCAACGGTTAGCGCAATACGTTCCCGCAACAATGGAGGAAGAGAATAATCGTAGGGGAGATGACCAAGGGCGCCTACCGAATGCGGCAGGAAATATCGTCAACGAGCAAGAGAACAACTCATTAATCCACCACCTCGCCAACGAGCATTGCATGAGTACACCGTTCCAACACTCAATGGGTTTCAATCGAGCATCCAGCAGCCCCCCATTGAAGCCAACAATTTCGAAATTCGAGCGGGACTCCTTACTATGCTCCAAAACAATGGGTTGTTCAGCGGATTAGCTCATGAAGATCCGCATCTCCACTTGGTCAACTTTCTCGAAACGTGTGATTCGCATAAAATGAACGGAGTGTCACCGGAAGCACTGCAGCTCCGCCTCTTCAAGCACTCTCTACAAGGAGCCGCAAGAGAATGGCTACAAACTCGTGCACCACACTCCATATCTTCTTGGCCCCACCTAGCACAGCTCTTCATGAATACGTACAACTCCCCAACCAAAACTGAGAGAATCCGGAGAGAAATACAAAACTTCATACAAGAAGCCGGTGAAGCATTATTCAAGACGTGGGAGCGGTTCAAACAACTTATTCGGAGATACCCGAATCACGGTCTTCAAGAGTGGCGGCAACTTCAAATATTTTATGATGGATTGCAAGATAATTCGAGAACAGTGCTCGATTCAGCAGCTGGCGGTATGTACATGAGCTTGACATATGACGAAGCTTATGAACTTTTGGAGCGGATCGCAAGGAACAAATACATGCGGGCATCGGACCGGTCAAATAGTGGAGCCAATAAGACGGGAGGAATTTTAGAGTTAGACGGGGTCACCGCAATCACCGCCCAGTTAGAAAAGCTATCAAAACAAGTAGCGGCTTTGCAGACTCAGCAAGTCCATGCAGTCCAAGGTCCCGACTAGTGCTTAGAAGAAACGGAGTCTCTAAATTACGTGAATGACACCAATCGACAACAGAGGAATCTGTACTCCAACACTTATAATCCGGGATGGAAAGATCACCCCAACTTTGGATGGGGAGGAAATCAGCAAGGACAAAGGCAAGCACCACCTCAAGGTCAACCGCCTAGTTATTCACGGCCAGCTCCCGGTTTCCAAAATCCTCCTCAAACCCCACTTCAAGGTGCAGATCTCGCTAATATCTTAGCACAATTCATGACATCAACTCAAGCTTCCATTCGAAATTTGGAGACACAGATGGGGCAACTTGCAACCCAACTAAACGCTAGGCCGTCGGGAGCACTGCCGTCGAATACGGAAGATCCTCGAAAGAGCAACATCGAGCAGTGCAATGCAGTAAGTTTGCGAAATTGGAGGCAATTAGAGGAAGGTACTAAAAAGTCCGTTGCACCACCGCCTATTGTAGAGGAGCCCAAAGAAAAGACCGAGGTCGGGCCAAGCAACACAAAGATCACAGTAAGTGAACCTACTTCCAAGGTACCCTTCCCTCAACGTTTTCAAAACTCTAAGCTTGATATGCAATTTCAGTTATTTTTGGATTATCTTAAAAAGTTGCATGTTAATATTCCTTTTGTTGAGGCACTTAAGCACATGCCAAATTGGGTTAAGTTTATAAAGGAACTTGTATCGAAGAAGATGAGGCTTCCGGAGTGTGCAGCAATAGTAGACCTCAATGAGCAAAGTAGTGCTATCCTTTCAAATAAAATCCCACCGAAGCTTAGAGATCCGGGGAGTTGTACCATTCCATGCACAATAGGTACAAGGTATTTTGGGCGGGCATTGTGTGATCAAGGGGCGAGCGTAAATTTAATGCCTTTATCAATTTATGAGAAATTGAATTTAGGAGAAATTAAGCCCACTTCCGTGACCTTGCAGCTAGCCGATAGATCTTTTACTCACCCTTTAGGTATAGTGGAGGATGTATTGGTCAAGGTAGATAAGTTCATACTCCCGGCCGATTTTCTAGTACTAGACATAGAGGAAGATGAAAATATTCCCCTTATCTTAGGATGCCCCTTCTTAGCAACCGGTAGATCAATTATTGATGTAGGAAAGAGAGAGCTAAGAATGAGTGTGGGGGAAGAAACAGTGATCTTCAAGGTGTACCGGGTGGATGAAAAGCCTACTACGGCTAATGGATGTTATCTACTTGACGAGGTAAGTGATTCTAAACTTGTTTCTGTTAAATTACATGATTTAAAAAATATTGTGGAGACTAATGTGCATGTAGGAGAACAAAAGGAAAAGGTTGAGTTGGTTACAACACCTACTCAAAACACCGTGATAAAAAACAATGTTGCCAAGCCTCATGACACCAAGAAGAATAAATTCAAGGGCATTCCTAAGCGAACCAGTCGAAAGAAGAATCGGATCAACCCATTTATTCAAGACTTTCTCCAAAAGGAAGTAAGGAGATGGGTCCAAAAGCTAAGGAATTGAAGAGCACGAACAAAGTCTGGCTGAAGACTATAAACTTAGCGCTTCTCGGGAGGCAACCCGAGATTTTCGTTTTTTTTTATTATTTCTTTTTCTTGTTTTATTTTATTTATTTATTTTATAAGCATGCAAGCTAACAATTTAAACATGTTTTTATTTTTTAGGACAAAAAATTGCAGCTCTGGAGATCATACGGCCGTCCCAAAACAAGGCAAAATTTCACACGGCCGTGTGAAAAATCTGGAAGCTACTGCCCAATTTTGGCCTTGCGCACGGCCGTGCGAGAAACAGACAGCTACTGCCCAATTTTGGCAATTCGCACGGCCGTGCGGAAAACAGTTCAAAATCTCATACGGCCGTGCGAAACGCAACAGGAGCATAATAAAGGCGAGGGTAGAGAGCAACACGGAGATGACCAAGACGACTAAGTCATGTGTATTCTATCCTTAAACTTCGGGTTAATTACATTGAGGGCAATGTAAATTTTAAGTTTGGGGGTGGATAATTACTTGCTTTTATGTGCTTTAATTTTTTAGTTTGCATGCCTTAGGAGTTTTTTTTAGTTTAGTTATTGCTTTCGAAAAAAAAATAAAAAATGTGTTGAGATAAATGCTTCGATGAATCATGATGATGAAAGATGGTTGATGTTTAATGATGAAATTGCTTGCTTTATCTTGATTGTGATTGAATTTTGGTGAGCTTTTGATTCAAATGTCGTAGGAAGAAGTCATTGTTAGGAATCACGAATTATGCCTTCCCTTGGTTGAAAGTTTTGTGTTTTAAAACGTGGAATTGATTTATGCTATATCATATGCTATTCGGTTTTAGAACTTGCTTTATGAATTTACAAAGTGAAATATTAAATTGTTGAGCAATTTGGGAAGTGATTTGGGCCATCTTTGAACCGTTTGAGCCTTTCAAGCCTACCTTTAAATTTTTATCATTCGAACCTTGATTGAGCCTTGGAGAAACGGTGTTCTTTCTTTTAGCCGAAATAAAGTGGGTAGATTAGATGGTGGTTTCTTGATAATTTTTCCCTTGGAGCTTGGTTGAAAAAAAAAATTACGTTTTTCTTCTTCTGCAAAAAAAAAAAAAAAAAAAAAAAAAAAAAAAAAAAAAGTGAGATAGAAGGGGAAGAAAGGACTTGAGATAGATTTTGAAGTAAATACTCGAACCATCATGTTAAGAGCAAAAGTGGTGACTTTTGAACTCTTAACAAAATCGAGTTAGGTTATAAGTCCTTCGAGGTGAAGCAATAATTCCAAAAGCTAAATCTTAGCGAAAACACCTCTAGTCAAGAACGAGAGTTAAAAATTCCGTCAAGTGCAACTCTTAGTGACTAATTGTGAGATGAAAGGAGAAGAGTAGCCACTTTTACCCATATTTTCTACCTTGTACCAAAAGCCCAACATTTGAAAGCCAAAAAGTCCCAATGATCCCAATAGCTCAATTTTTTGATACTAGCCGAGTAAAGAAATTTGGTGAGTCTTTAGAGTTGAATATTATTATGTAAGTATAAATTTTCTCCATTTTTAATGTACAAATATGGGATACTTGAAGCGATAGCATGGTTTGTGGTTTTTTTACAAGGGTGCGTGAATACGTATCTTTGAATTACGAGCTTGTAAATTTTTAAGAATTGTCATGATAATTGCAAGTTCTGAAAACGTGAAGTTGACCATTAATCTATGTGACGAGAGGCATTTGTTGAGAGTGTTGCTTTGAAGGTTGCTAGTTTTTGCTTGAGCACAAGCAAAAGTTCAAGTTTGGGGGTGTGTTGAGTGTATAGTTTACACTCAATGTATACTTTCTTACGAGGATTTTTGTATACTTTTATTGATTTAATGATGCTTAATGAGTGGTTTATTGTATTTTAGGTACAACTTGACGATTTGGAAGTTCCAAGGACGAAACGAGCCAAAAAGGGTCAAAAACGGGCAAAAACGGAAGAAAACAAAATATGCTGAAAATTGGCTGAAAATTGGCCCGCGCGGCCGTGCCAAATTTAGCCTATTTTTGGCGCGGCCGCGCCAACTGCAGAAGTTGGGCAGAAGGTTTCGGCGATTCTCGCGCGTCCGTGTGAGAATTGCACTGATTCTCGCGCGGCTGTTCCAAAACACGCTGGAGACAATTTTGGACTTTTAATCACACAAGGAAACCTAAATTTTTCTACCAAGTTGGGACATCTATTTAATCCCAAACCAAGCACGAATTAGAGGACTTTTGGAACACAATCTTGGAGGAGAGGAGCGAGAGAACGAAGAAACGAAGACGGAGAATCGACAAATCTTCATCACAATTCTTCTTTCATCTATCTTTTCTTGATCTCTTTCTTTTTATATTTTTATTATGTTTTTCGTAGAGAACATGCGTAGCTAAGTTTTTAATCTAGGATTTTGTTGGAACCCTATGTGGGAATGGTGAACCCGTTTTCTTGATATTATGCAATTATGATTTTATGATTATTTCTTCTACTTGTTATGATTGTTAGTGCATGAACTTGATCAATTTATGTGTTTTATCTGTGATTATTGGGATTGACTCGACAGAGCTATTTTGATAATTAGACGCTAAGTAAAAGAGCCTTCGAGTAGTTTTCACCGGATGAGTGTGTCAATTGCATGTGGTGTCGTAGACATACAGATATCACCTTAGGTAGCCATTTACGAGACCTGTTAGTTAATGCTTTATTCATAATTGGTTTGCATAGACATATAGTGAACCGTTTATGATTAATAGACTCATAATACAAACAACAGCGGGTTATGAGTAAATTAATGTCTCGGGTTAATAATCATGAATCATATATTTCATAATTGAGGGGTTTTGGGTGAGCAATTCTTGCATATAGGGAAGATAAAATCCTAGATCCGTTTTATATTGATATTTTCTCGTGATTCTTTTCTTTCTTAATTAGTTTAGTTGTTTAATTGATTTAATTTGACAAACTTGCGTAGGCTGGATAAAAATCATAGTTGTTAGAATTTGGTACTTAGGATTAGATAATTTGAGTATTCCCTGTGGGATCGACATCCGACTCTCACGAGTCCACTTTTACTACTTGTTTGCGATACGTGCACTTGCGTGTTAGGTATTTAGCCCCAACATAAACCTAAGGGAAAATCATCCTTAGGCATACCCCTGGAGAGGCGAAAGTATTATACTTCCCTTATATGCAATTTTCGGTTAAACTGCATTCAGCATTTCTGGCCTACATTTAGCATTTTCACTGATTTTTTTATTTTTTTGTTTATTTTTTATTTTTTTATTTTTTATTTATACATTTATTTAATTTTTTTTTCATTTTTTTTTTTAATTTTTTTTTGAATCGATATGTTTACTGTACCGAAAATAACTACATGTAACTGTAGTAAACTACAATCATTCGTAGTTATGTCTTATTTTTACCCCAAAATTTTAGTCGACCAATTATGCACACAGACGAATATTGGCTTATACAAAAGAAATTCATGAACCACAACAACAAAAAATTACAAAATCAATATTTATATTATAAATCACCTCATAACCAACAAAAACAAATTGAAAACATACAAATATATGCATATGTAACTACATGTTACTATATGTAACTAGTAATGTACAGTAATCAGTCTGTAGAACACTGTAACTTGAAGCAGATGTAACTTCAACCAACATTTTTACACTTTCAAGGAGAGGATCAATGGTTTTCATTAAGCTGCAATTACAAAATCAAAACAAAAAATATTATTGAAAATCAACAAAAAATGAAGAAACATCAAAACACTCAAAAATCAACAAACACTAAGAGATCGAGAGATAGAGAGAGAGATGCCATAGTGGCGAAATGTTACGAATTTTAGACCAAACTGCCAATGACTTTTCACCCCAAGCACCCCCTACCAAAAACCCTAGCCGCCCCCAACCACCCAAGGTTCCGCACCGCAATGAAAAAAAATATTTAAACAAATCTGACAAAAAACATTGAACAAAATTACCCTAAAAAAATGGATCTCGGCGAGAGGAATCCAACAGTCGGAAGCCCGTCAAATTCAGTCTGTCGGAATACAAATTACTCCTCCGGTAAGACACACCGGCGTCGAAATACGCTCCGACTGTAAAACGATTGCAGAAACAGATTGAGTGCTTCAAACTGAATGAAATCACCACCAAAGAAAGAGCTCAACGAGAGAAATCCAACGGTAGTTAAACCATCGAATTCCGACCACCGGAGAGAGAGTAATGACTTCGGGAAGCACGGGAAGCAACATCGCCGATTGGAGATCTATGGGGGCGGGATTTTAATCTGAGAGTGAGAGAGGACGAGAAAGAAGGTTGTGAGTTGGCTAGGGTTTAAAACTGATTTAAAAAGAACTAGATACTTCAGGGTGGGCGAGGGGGGTCTATCAAATTAATTTTAAAATAGGGAGGGGGTTTGCACCAGGGTGTAATCCCCGTGATGGTAATTATATATTTTTTCCATATGAGGTGATCCCTAAAATAATCCCATTAATTATCTCCCCAACCAATCTAGGCCTTAAAATGTATTACATATATACTGTTTGGCCTCTTTTTGAGTACTGGATAGAGTGATAGACAATATAATTACAAATGTTTTGAAAAACGTACCGAATAATGACTCGATCAAGCTAGTGGGTCACGGTTGGACCGGTTCAACCGGGGTCCAACCGGATTTTTTTATTTCAATTTTAATTTTTTTTATTATTTATATCTAATTTATATGATATTGTTTGTAAAAAAACATTTACATTAAAACTGTCTATTTAACACCGATATCAAATATTCGTATAAGTTAAGCATAAAGCTACAATTAACAATGCGAACAAACAATAAAATAACAAGCAACATAAATCATAGTCATCTTATAAATAAAAAAAAAATTAATTTAAAGTTTTATATCCAAAGCAAACATTTAAAATAAGTCTCAAATCCAAATCAAATATTTAAAATAAACAGCAAATGCATATAAAAGACAACATCATCTTCATCACCCTATTCATCATACTGATCCTCAATTTCATCTTCACCTTCACCTTCATCTCTCCTTCATGAGATGTCATCACGTCGAACTCATGCCCTTTACAATCTAAAAAAGGAATAATCAATTAAAAATAATTTTAAACTACTCAAAATCTCATTAATCAAAGTGCACAGAAACATTCCTTGTGCCCTTGACTCTCCAGCATCCTTTGGATATTTTTGCATCATATTTTCAAGTTTATCATAGTTCAGTTCTTCTTCTTCTTCCTTTTTCACAACCTAAAATTCAGTTTTTTCGATTAACTCGTAATCAATTGGATTATATGCTCTCTTGGAGATACCCAACCTAAATAATTGTAACATTAACATGAACAAAATAAATTAATATATAAGATAACTATTTCTTAAAAATTATAAAGTTAACTTAAAATAACTCACCTATTTTTCAATCGCAAATTATAATGAACCTACACGAGATCGTTCATTCTAGTATGCTGTAATCTATTTCTTTTCTTGGTGTGGATACGTTGCGATACTTTTCAACTGCGCTCACATCCAGAAGAAGAAGCAGTTTGACTAAGAATTTTTATAGTCAATTTTCGCAAGTTTGATGCGTCAAAATCAAACAATCTCCACTATTCATTTGTTTAAAAAAAATATGAAAGGCATAATTACAGAATTGATTGCATTTCATAATTTATATATATTTAAAACATGGTTAAATACAAAAACATCCATGTACTATGGACTTTGTATCATATACCTCATGTACTATACATAAATACAAAAACTCTCCTACTGTTATATTTTTTCCAAAATCTGACGAAAATACCCTGGCAAAGCCTATAAATATAAGGGATCGTTGGAGCCTTTTCCACTATATATAGCGGGTCTTTCAGTTTTTTACCCCGGCAAAATTTAGCGGGTCTTTCAGTTTTTTACACATTTCGAGGTCTTGTCTGGATTTTTTTTGTAAATGAGTATTTGGGGGATCTAGTTATGAATAAATAGCCCCATGGACATATTGGTAATAGTCCCTTAAACTAATAACTTCAAGTCTATTTACTTCAATTTAAACCAAAAAAAACATGTAAAGGGTACACAAAGATATGGCATAATGTAGGCATCTAAAATTAAATGTTGGAGTAATACGCAAAAAAGTATCCCTATGTAATCCTTATCCGTCAAAAACCCTCCATGATAAAATAACTAGCAAAAACCTCTCGTGTAAAATTTTAAATTGCTCACTGCAGCCATTACAATTTTAGTCATTCAGTGAACGTAAAAAGACAAATATACCCTTCAATAAAATAGAATAAAGATTAGATAACATAAAATAGGGGCACAATTACAATTTTTGCTAAACTTGTAAAACTTCATTACGGGATTGAATTGCAATTTTCCTAAAAAATCAATAAAACCAATCTTCTTCTCCGACGCCTTCTTTCACAAAATATGTTGCATACCACTGATGATTCCTCGTAGAGTCGTAAAGCTCTTCTGATAACTCGCACTGGAATTGCTTACTGCAGAACCGAGCTCCTTCGCCTCCGACGAAACATCGGTGCTTCATGTGATTTTGCGTTGTAATCTTTGAGTTTCATGGTGGATATGTGTGTTCTATTTATGCAGAAGAAGAGTTCTTCTTCTTCCAAGAGAGAGAAAATAGAAGTGGAGACTGGAGAGAGATGATAGTATTGGCGTGGGGGGCTATTCTGTCATTTCATAAGAAAAACTGAAGAAAAAATCACAATAGGAGTGAGTGGGACTCACCATCTACTCGGAAGGAGGTTTTTACCTTTGACTTTTTTACGTAGGAGTTTTTGCTAGTTTTTTTTTTATTACGAGGTGTCTTAGCAGATAAGAATTACAAAGGGGTACTTTTTGCACATTACTCTTAAATGTTGAGACTATATAAATAAAAGGGTAAATTACAAATACCCCCCTGAGGTATGACCAAATTACAAAAATACCCCTCTTGTTTGGATAATTACAACCACCCCCCTCAACTCATCAAATTTAGTGGAATCTTCGAGATTATATGGAATATTATCACTTTTGTACCCCTTTTATCCCATTCAAACTCTACATTATGAAGCAAGATGACCATAACATGTGATTTTTAGCTTGTATATATCAGTTTGTGGTGCATCGAAAACTGTATTTTTTACACAAAGAGTACAAACTAGAGCACATTTCACGGAATCTAGATGACTATGTTGCATTTGGCACCATAAAGGTACGAAAAAATCATAGTTGAGGGGGGTAGATGTAATTATCCAAACAAGAGGGGTTTTTTTGTAATTTAACCATACCTCAGGGGGTATTTGTAATTTACCCTAAATAAAAATATAGAATGAAAGAACAAATAATAGATAATCAATACAGATGCCATTACATACATAAAACTACATCACTGAAACCTGGAGCCAAAAGTAATTTGTGTATTGAGGACCGTTGAATCAACTCCAACTGCTACCAACTCTATAGTAATCAATAATTAAAACCACACGTGCAAGTATCATAATATCATTGAAAAATGTATTTTTTTTCCTTTTGACTTTATTGCAATTGGTACTCCCGTGTTGTATTTGAATTTCTAAAAAAAAACTCATTGTTATTTTATTGTCAAACAACCCCCTATGGTTTTCTTTCTCCAAAAATTAGTATCCACGTTTAAGGGATTGTGTGCTAAAAACATTGGAATCATAGGTGGAGTTTTGCCAATAAAATAACATATGCTATTTTTTTAGCAATTTTATAGAATACAGGGGTACTAATTGCAAAAAAGCCTTTCGTTTTTCATCATCAAGTGTTGAAGTATCCGCACTTTTAATTTGGATCATCGTCAAGCTAGTCTCCATTGATGAAAATCGTTTTTCTATCAACTTTCTTCATATTAGGTAGCTAAAAAGGAAAGTATATATAGCAAATTCGTACAAGTAATGTGTATAAAACTAGATGAATATACAAGAAGTAAAGAACAAGGTAGAGAGAAGAGATAATGTATTATTTCACATTTCAAGTGTATGTACAACTCATTGCAATATGTTCTATAAATATCACAAATACGATACGATAATCAAAATGCAAGAGTTACAACATAGTTAAAGAGATTTAACCATTGATGAACATACTAAATTGGTTTGTTACTTCTCATATAATATTGACCTGTGGACATCCATATCAAAATAAATTATAGGGGTCATTGCAAATAAGTCCATCAATATGCTCCAATTTCATCCTTAACTTAATTTAACCTCAAATTGACCCCAAATTTCACAAATTATTCAATTTTGACCACAAAAAAAAATTCAAAATTTTTTTTTCAAAGACTTTTTTTTTCCCGCCGGATTCCGACGTTGACTTTTCATTTTTTTTTTTCTTCTTTTCTTTCTTTCTGTAACTTTTTTTTTTCCGTTTAAACAACAATATTGCTGTGATTGACAGTAATATTAATTATATTACAGTTAAACACAGTGAAATTAACTAAACTACAGTTTAACACAATAATATTGCTATATTAATCTCTAGCACAATAATGTTAACACAACAAAACTCATTATTGTTGTGTAATAGAGTAATATTACTATGTTAACCGTTCAACAAATGTAAACATAATAAAAAACCAAAAGAATTAATATTACTATGAGCGACAGTAATATTACTATAACAACAGTAATATTACCGTCAACCACAGTAATATTACAATAATAGACAGTAATATTATTACGTTACTCCGTGAATACCTCAAACAAACGAAAAATCGAAACAAAATAATAATATTGATGTGGTTGACATCAATATTACTATAACAACAGTAATATTACCGTCAACCACAGTAATATTATTCTGTTTACAATAATATTACAATAATAGACAGTAATATTATTATGTTACTCCGTGAATAACTCAAACAAAACAAAAAACCCAAAAAAATAATAATATTGATGTTGTTGACAGTAATATTATTGTGTTTACAGCTATTTTACTGTCAACGACAGTAATATAATTACGTTGACTTGTCAACAAATCAAACAAAATAAAATAAAAACAGCAAAAAAATAAAAAAATAATAATATTACATTAATTTACTGTCAACGGCAGGACAATTACATAAATGTATTGTCAACGGCAGTACAATTACGTTAATTAACTGTCATTACAGTATAATTACGTTAATTTACTGTCAATGACAGCACAATTACGGTCAACGTTTTGCGGCGGACGTAAAAAAAAAAAACAAAAAAAAACTCTAAAAAAAATAAACGCCGGAAACCGGCGAAAAAATCCGGAAGAAAAGAAAAGAAAAAAAAAAGTTAACGCCGGAAACCGGCGTAAAAATCCGAAAGAAAAAAAAAATTGAAAAGTCAATGCCGGAATCCGGCGGCAAATTTTTTTTTTTTGAAAATAAAAAAGTTATGGGTTAAAATTGAATAATTTGTGAAATTTGGGGTCAAATTGAGATTGAATTAAGTTAATGATGAAATTGGAGCATATTAAAGTATGCTCCAAAAAAAAGTCAAAATTGAATTTTTGTGGTCAAAATTGGATTTTTGTGGACAAAGTTGATTAAATTGGGGTTACAATTAAGAATTGGGTATATATGGTTGATGGTAATATTGGCATATACATGAATGTTTCCTTTATTTATAATAAATATTAAAGTGATGGGCTTATTAGTGAAAGAGATATAGCCTATAAACCTAGAATAATAAAGATGTTTGGTTGGGGACTTATGCACAAAAACCCCTAAATTTTATAAAACACAATTTATCTTTCAAAATCTTTTTCTAATATATATATATTCGTTTAGTAATATATATTTTGATTACTACGGTGTTTTATACCTCCTCCTAAATTATGAACATAAAAAAAATTATTTTCAAAATCTTGTCCCAAAACATATGTTTTTGCAAGAGGAAATTATAACTTTTATTTAAGTATATGGACTGGGCAATATATATTCTCAATCTTTACAAAAGAAAATGAGAGAAAATAAAAGAGTAATGTGCAAAAAGTACTCCTATTTAATTCTTATCTGTCAAAAACCCCCTTGATAAAACAACTAGCAAAAACCCCCTACGTAAAAAAGTCAGAGACAAAAAACCCCTTCCGAGTATATCGTGTTCTCCATTCGCTGCTTGTATGATTTTTTCTTCATTTTTACTTATGAAATGACATAATTGCCCCCAAGCCACTACCATCATCATCATCTCTCCACTCCCATATTCTCTCTCTTCGAAGAAAAAAAACTCTTCTTCTGCACACATATACAGTAATTATACACCATAAAAACTCCAAAATTTTCTAAAATATTTTCAAATGGAATAATTGAAGAATACAATCACTCTGGATTTTCGTGCAATCACCGTCTCCGCTTAGAAATCACTCAATTTTGCTGCTACAAATTCGGGATTGCCGCCGACAAGAGTTGGTGGCTGGATTGAAAAACGAAAAAGAATTTTTTTTTTTAATTCCAGGTCCTTTCTCAAACTTCAGCAAAGAAACACCAGGGATCGAATCAAAGACGGGAATGAATCAAAAAACAAAACAAAAATGAATATTGATCCAACATCACGATGGCAGCCCAGCAGCACGCAAATCACCAATCACAAAAACTAAACCACTCCTAGATAATCAAAGTAAGTACTGGATCTAAAGATTACAATGCAAAAGCACATGAATCGCCGATATCCCTTTTTTTTGTTCGAGTTGGAGGTTAACAAGATATCAGCCTTCCTGGAGTAAGCAATTCCGGTTCGAGTTATCAGAAGATCTTGTGAAGAAGAAGACGGGTTTTATTTATTTTTTGGGAAAATTGCAATTCAATCCCCTAATTTAAGCAAAATTGTTATTTTGCCCCTATTGAAGAGCATATTTGTCCTTTTAGGCTCAGTCAATGACTAAAATCGTAATGGTTGCAGTGAGCAAATTAAAATATTACACATGGGGTTTTTTGCTAGTTATTTTATTACAGGGGGTTTTGGCAGATATGAATTACACAGTGGTATTTTTTAAACAACACTCGAAAATAAAAATAAAAAATTACAAGCGACTGGCCCACAACTTATCCCAACTTAATAAAATTCCACCGTAGCGCCGCCGCCGCGAACTGAGACAGTGCCACCTTAATCTAAATATTTCAAGGGACAAAACGTGCAAAGTGGGAAGCATATACATTTAATCCGCTATAAATTAATACACGTAGGGATTAAAGAACTTCTATTAGTTTAGCGAACTATTAAATTATCGAGTTAATAATTTAACAAGTTTTTACCGAGTTGTGACCAAGAAAAATTATTATTTAATCGAAATTATTATTATTTATCGAGGTTCTACTGTATACAACGACAAACAACCCAAATCTTTTTGAAGTAATATAATTACATCTAAAAAAAAACTCAAAGGACAGCATATTGATTATTGATTGATGCTTTATTTCAATACAATCTTTACAAGCAATTATATATCAGGAATAAATATAAGAATGTTTCAGAATGTTTAATTAACCTCCACAACCGCCACAACCACCGCAACCACCGCCGCCACCACCATCACCGCCACCGCAACAACACCCTTGAGAGGCCCCGCCACCGCTGGTATCCCCAACACCGGCAACCCCACAACCACCACCGCCCGTGTTACGATCACTCTCTTGGGCACTGACCACCACGGCAGCCGTAACAGCTGTTGCGACCACAGCAGCACCTGCTCCCGCCAAGACCACCATGTTTCCGTCCTTCAAGCCGCCATCACCCACATACTTCTTCCCACTCTTATTATCGTAACCATATTGGCCCGCCGGCGGTTCAGCAGGCTGATCGGCAGATTTGCCTTCTTTGCGGTCTCGAGTTCGCACACAACAAAACATTTTGTTTATTAATATATGTAAGAGCGTATGGTAATTACAAGACAGTACTGCAACGAGTGCAATATATATATATATATATATATATATATATATATATATATATATATATATATATAGCCTTTACGCCTCGTTTGGTTGCCAAGATAAGATTAGTCATGATAAAATTAAATCATCTAATGAAACACAATTATATTATTGGACCTTCGATGATCCAATAAAAAATATGCCTAGAAACTAGAAAATAAGATAAGGGCATGATAACATGATATTTGCATGTCAACCTAGAAAGTTATTGAGGACACCAAACATCAAATAAAGTATAATTAGTTAGAGATGAATCATGGATAATCTATCTAACCAAACGAGGCCTTACGAGATATATGTTACAATTTTCTTGAATTTGGATTACGTCATACGTATAATTAATACTACATCAGCTTCAGTATTCAAAACTTATGAATTGTTATCCACGTTTGTAAATGTGCTGGAAATGTCGAGGAATTTCATTTGAGAATTTTGCGTGCAAGGGTGTAACATATAGAATAATACAGGAAAGCATTTAATTGCTGACTTTTTCGTTAATAAGTTTTAGATCATTGACAAATGACAATCTTAGAATTGTTAATCCATATTATATCCATCACATTACATTTATGTTGTCATGCCCCGTTATATTATATTCAAGTCTCTATGAATAACCAGGCTCGGATGGATAAATTAAAGAACGATGATGTAGCAAATTAGTTGACTGTAATTTTATTCTTTGGCGACGTATTTACATTTAGGCCTCGTTTGGTTAGCAAGATAATATTAACTAAAATAATATTAATAATCAATAAAATTTTAAATTGCTCACTGCACACATTACGATTTTACTCATTCACTGAACGTAAAAAGACAAATATACTCTTCAATAAAATAGAATAAAGATTAGATAACATAAAATAGGGGAAAAATTACAAATTTTCTAAACTTGTAAAACTTCAATTACGGGATTGAATTGCAATTTTCCCAAAAAATCAATAAAACCAGTCTTCTTCTTCGATGCCTTCTTTCACAAAATATGTCGCATAGCACCGGAGATTACTCGTAGATTCGTAAAGCTCTTCTGAAAAAATCACTCAAGGAGCGAGTGGTGTACACCATCTACTCGGAAGGAGTTTTTTGCCTTTGACTCTTTTAAATAGGGGAGTTTTTGCTATTTTATTATCACGAGGGGTTTTTGGCAGATAAGGATTACAAAGAGGTATTTTTTGCACATCACGCTTAAATGTTGAGACTATATAAAGAAAAATATAGAATGAAAGAACAAATAATAGATAGTCAATATAGATGCCATTACATACATGAAACTACATCACTCAAACCTGGAGGTTGGAGCCAAAAGTAACTTGTGTATTGAGGACCGATGAATCATTCATAACTGCTACCAACTCTATAAGAATTAATAATTACTCATTTAAAACATTTAAATGAGTAATCCAAAATACTTGTTTTAAATGTTTGCTTGGATGTATACTTAAAGTTAAATGTTTACTTTTTTATTTATAAGATGACTATGGTTTACGAATATTTAATATTTGTGTTTAATATGCTATTTTTATGTAAATTTTTGTATAAACAATAGTACAATACCATATAAATAGTTAAAAAAAAGTTAAAAAAATCCGATTGGACCTCGATCCAACCGTGACTCGGTAGCTTGGCCAGGTCAATGTCCGGTCCGGTTTTCATGAAATATTGGTTATTATATTGTCTATTACTCTATATCCAGTAAAGCAAAAGAGGTCCAATCGTTATTAACTAAGTAATTGAACTTTGTTTGATATCGGGTATCCCCAATAAGTTGTTGGATCGACTCGCAAATAATTTAATTTTTATTAAATTATTTCATCTTATCTTGACTGATCTTATATAGGCAACCGAGGCAGGTCTTAGTGCAAATATGTGGCCAAAACGGGTAAAATTATAGTCAATTAATTTGGAACATCATAATTCTTAGTTTGATTTATCATCGATGGAATGGAGCATCTGCCTGGTTATTCATAAGGACTTGAATATAATATAATGGGGCATGACAACATATATAAATGCGATGAACAATTCTAATATTTGTATTATTATATTTTATATGTGACAGCCCCCACGCATAATACTTAAATGAAATTCCTCGACATTTCTATCAAATTTACAAACTTGGATCACCAATTCATAATTATGAATGCTGGAACTGATCCAGTATTAATTAAATGTATGACATAATCAAAATTCAAGAAAATTGTATATCTCATAAGGCCTATATATATATTGCACTCGTTGCAGTATTGTCTTGTAAATTGTAATACCATAAGCTCTTACATATAATTGACAAACAAAAAATGTTTTGTTGTGTGCGAACTCGAGACCGCAAAGAGGGCAAATCTGCCGATCAGCCTATTGCACTGCACGGCCAAAATCTGCCGCCACCGCCGCCGGCGGGCCAATATGGTTACGATAAGAAGAGTGGGAAGAAGTACGTGGGTGATGGCGGCTTGAAGGACGGAAACATGGTGGTCTTGGCGGGAGCAGGTGCTGCTGTGGCCGCAACAGCTGTTACGGCCGCCGTGGTGGTGAGTGACCAAGAGAGTGATCGTAACACGGGCGGTGGTGGTTGTGGGGTTGCCGGTGTTGGGGATACCAGCGGTGGCGGGGCTTCTCAAGGGTGTTGTTGCGGTGGCGGTGATGGTGGTGGCGGCGGTGGTTGCGGTGGTTGTGGTGGTTGTGGAGGTTAATTAAATATTCTGAAACATTCTTAATACAGTTGTTCCGGATATATAATTGCTTGTAAAGATTGTATTAAAATAAAGCATGAATCAATATACTGTCGTTTGTGTTTGTTTTTTTCAGATGTAATAAATAATACTTCAAAAATAATTTGGGGTTGTTTGTCATAATATATGATTCCCACTTTGCACGTTTTGTCCCTTGAATTTAGATTAAGAAAATATCCATAAAAGATTGTGGAAATGGCTAGTCGGTTGCGCAAGAAGGTGGCACTGTCTCAGTTCGCGGCGGCGGCGGCGCTACGGTGGAATTTTATTAAGTTGGGATAAGTTGTGGGCCAGTCGCCAGCATCACCAGTTGTTGAACCACGTGTATATACTAGCAAGGTGCACGTGCGTTGCACGTGTGTTAATAATTTTTCTATGTTGTTTTTTAATTTGGGTTTTTATGCATAGTGTTTGGCTTAGCTTATACGATGCTAAAATGAGCTTATAAGATGTTTTAGAGCTTATAAGCTCTTCCAAAATGTTTGGTAAATTTTTAAGAAAATATCTTAATTAATAAGCTCTTGGAGAGCAAATACGATATGTTTAAAAAAATACCTCTGCCCCACGTTTTTATTTAAAATCTTATAATGAGTAAAAAATAGGAAATAAACTCATTATCCAAATACTCTAATTAAAACTAATCCTAAAGATAAGATGTGATAGCTTATTAGCTCTTAAAACATCTTATCAGACATATGAGCTTATCAACTGTTTAAAATAAGCTTAGCCAAACACTCTAAGTCTCACACTAACTATCTTTATTGTTTTAGGTTTATGCATGGGTTATTTATATCTCTTTCGCAAAGAATGAATGAAAATATATTTTAAGAGATTAATGAAAAAAAAAATTAAGTACTTAAGATTACTATTATTTATATATTGATTTCTTAAAATTTATCGATATGAATATACTCGATTAATTGGTCCAATAACAATTAGATGTTATTTATTAGATATGTACCCAACAGTACAAGATAATATTTTTAAATTTTAAAATTTTGCATTTTCCCACATATATTTTTAGTTGTATAACTTAATTATTCTTTTACTTATTATTTTAAATAATTTTTTTAAGGTATTAGGATTTAGAATACAAATTGAATTGAGCTTGAGGTGTTAAGTGTTACGTAGGCTATATTTCAGGGGTGTAAAGTGCAATTAGCCCTATGTATTATAAAGAAAGGCAAACTTAATGTATATGACAAAATTACCCTAACCCTTTAAACTCAATTCCTAATTGTAATTTAATTCAGTTTAACTTCAATTTCATTAATTATGACAACAAAAATCCAATTTTGACCTTTTCTTTTTACACTTTTTCTTTTGTGATTTTTTTTTTCCGCCGGTTTTCGGCGTTGATTTTTTTTTTTTTTTTTTTATTCTGACAATTTTTTACACTGCCGGTTTGAGGCGTGTAGATTGGCGTTGACTTTTTTTTTTGAAATTTTTTATCATTTATTTTTTTACGCACGCCGCTAAACGATGACAATAATTGTAGTGTCGTTGACAGTACAATTGCTGTTAAACAACAATATTAATATCAACCACATCAATATCATTATTTTTTTTTTTTTGACTTTTTTATTTTGTTTGATTTGTTGACCAGTTAACGTAATAATATTACTGTCGTTGACAGTAAAATTACTGTAAACACAATAATATTACTGTCAACAACATCAATATCATTATTTTTTTAGGTTTTTTATTTTGTTTGATTCGTTGACCGGTCAACGTAATAATATTGCTGTCTACTATTGTAATATTACGGTAAACACAATCATATTACTGTAGTTGACAGTAATACTACCGTCGTTACAGTAATATTATTGTCAACCACATCAATTATTAATTCTTTTGGGTTTTTATTATGTTTTGTCTTTGTTGAACGGTCAACGTATTAATATTATTGTATTACACAATAGTAGTGGTTTTTGTTGTGTTAATACTACCGTGCTAGAGAATAATATAACAATATTACTGTGTTAAACTGTAATATAGTTAATATTACTGTCAACCACAATAATAATATTGGTTAAACGGGCCAAAAAATGTTTAGGAAAAAAAATGTTTTCAAACATAAAATAAAAATAAAGTCAACGCTGGTGGAAAAAAAAATCAACGCCCTGAGACCGGCAGTCAACAGCGGCGAGGGTCGAAATTGGAGTTAAAATTGGGTTGGTGATTAAATTAAATAATTGATTAAATTTTGGGACAAATTAAGGTTAAATTAGATTATATGATAAAATTTGAGCATCTTAAAATGTAAAGGGTTGTTTTAGTCTTTCACACACCTCTGAACATTGTCTGGATTTTTTTGTAAAGAGTTTTTGGTCTAGACTCATATATGAATAAGTTGCCCAGCTGGATGGGCTTATTAGTAATAAACACTTCTTAATTATGTATCATGCATGCTATATTTTATCAAAATAATGTTATTACATTTATAAAATGTATAAATATGTCGTTACATTGTTAATTTTTTGTCTTAGAATCGAATTTTATTTAATAACAAAATACATTAATAAATTTGTAGATTGTGTTCTAATTCAATTGACAATTACTTTTGGTGTTTTGTTAAAAACGATTTTTTTGTAGCTTTCTTTTTGGACTCTTCCACTAATTTTCTTCATTGTTATGATAACTTTGGATCATATTTACATGTTTTTTAAGTAATTATCCTCTATTTTGCATGCAACCTATTCTTTATTACTTACCTACTTTTAACTTCAATTATCTCAGTTGTTATAACTTATAACCACCAAACTTTTGCGTGTGTAGAGCCGATGAAAATTATAATTTTTTTAATTCCTTTTAAGAGTAATATTTCTTCTGTTTTTTTTGCAATTATTAAAGATTCCTTCCATTTCGTATTTTTATAAATATTTTGTACTTGATTTGTTTTTTAATATTGTATAGTTTTCTTTTTTTTTATGTAAATGTTTGTAGTTACTTTATACTTATATTAAGTTTTCGACGATAGAGAAGTTCATACTACTACTATTATATGAGATTTTACTAATAAATAGACCGAACGTAGAAACACCATCAATTAACTTATTAGTGTATTAATGAAATAATAATAAGTATAATGATGGCATTTTCATATACTTCCAGAAGTGTGGTTTCCTGCAACTTCCAAAAATCAAGAATGACCTGAATACAAAAATTCAAAATGTGAAATAAAAGACAATAAAAGTTAATGTTCAAGAAAGTTGATTTTTTAGTAATTATTTGGACATGTCACTACTAACCTGGCATGCAAAGTGTGCATACATTTTGTGTGTGTATGAATTTCATGTTAAGCATACATTTTGTTTGGCTATGTTCTTGTTTTTTTCTTTTCTTTTTTTTTTTTTTTTTTCCTTGTTCTTTCCCCCTTTTTTCCTCTTGTTTATCAGTTTCTTAGTACGAATATGGTGTTAGCAAAAAGACTAATAATAGACAAAATCCGTCACTAATGAAGCACTTACTTTCATCCTCACATGGACACATTCACGTAGCAAAGCATAATAGAAAATCAGTATAATTTTTTTATCATAAATATGACAGCATTTCAAGAAAAAAGGATAACTTCATCTAAATCCAGTTACTGATGAAAAATGAATGGCATATATACGACGTAAATTTGCTTTGAGGGTATTTTTGGATAAACAAAAATGGAAGAAACCACAAAATCAAATTTTTTTGCACATCTTTGAAAAATTTCTTGGATTCGCCACTATATATATGTGTGTGTGTGTGTGTGTGTACACCTGCTAGTAGAACAGTAGAAGATGTCGGCAGCAATTGGTCGAACGAATGCATCATAGCCTCAGCTCATCTTTGAAAAATTATGTAATTATTGGTACTTCATCTTTGAACATGAATCACCTTGTAGAACAGCAATATAAGATAAACACAGAAATTTGTACTTTGTGAATTTGAAAGAGAAAATATTATACATAGAAATAACATAGAGTCCAAGCCCTATGAAAAGTGTAATTAGACAGGAACTAATACCCTCTTTTTTTCTATTCTTATTCTTCTACCGAGGCTTAAAAACATTAGAAATGTAAAACGTCATAATTCTTCATCGAAAGTTTAATTGAGTTCTCCGAATTGTTTTCATTTTTATACAATGCATATTCATGCAATGCTTATGAATTATGAATAATGACTAATTAATGATATAATTATTTATTGTGTTCATGAATGGTCATCATTTCCAAATGAAAGGTCAAATCACGAAACCTATGAAAGGTTCATACAAAAAAAAAAAAAAAAGAATATAAAATCATACCCATTCATATTATTCATATTACATGATTGTCCTCTAAATGTTACCTATTCGAAGGATATTTTAGTCCATACAAAAAATGGAAGAAACCCCCTAAGGATTCATGCTTTTATAAGTAGTGTAGATAGATCACATATATTCTACTTGTTGACCTCTATTTTTTTTAGCCTTGTTATTTTATCTTTTTTATTTTCTCTCTTTTTCTTTGGCAAGGATTGAGAACATATACTGCCGGTCTGCCCCGTCCATATACATTAAAAAAGTTGTGATATTGTTGAAAGTGTTTAGGCCTGATTATAATTTCCTCTTGCAAAAATATATGTTTTGGGGCAAGATTTTGAAAACAACTTTTTTTTTCATAATTTAGGAAGCATAATATATATATATATATATATATATATATATATTCATTTAGTAATAATTTGACTACTACGATTTTCATCAATGGAGATTAGGTTGACGATGATCCAAAAGAGCGGATACTTCTGTATTTGGTGATGAAAAGGGAAAGTCTTTAAATCAGTATGCCTGCATTATATAAATTTGCTAAAAAAATATCCTGTGTTATTTTATTGGCAAAACTCCACCTATATATAATTCAAATGTTTTTAGCACACAATCCTTTAAATGTGGATACTAATATTTTTCAATGATATAATGATACTTACACGTGCGGTTTTAATTA